AAAAATGTTTTCCACCGTATGGCATGCCAAGAGATGATTGTGTTAAAATTTCAAGCATCTGCATTGAGTACAGTAGTTGCTGAGAAAACTGGGACGAAAAATTTGTTTTGTATAAAACAGACAAACGCACAGACAAACAAGAAGTTGACATCAGATTTGACCAAAAATGTAGCCTATCATATGGCATGCCTCAGAGATGATTGTGTCAAAATTTCAAGCATCTGCAATGAGTAGTTGCTGAGAAAACTGCGACGAAAAATTTGTTACGGACGGACAGACAGATAGACGGACAACTAGACGGAAGGACGGACAGACACACAGTGGTAAAAACGGAATACCCCCTCTCCTCTGGAGCGGGGGTATAACAATTAAGTCATTTTATATTTACTTGTTGCTACTGATATTATACTATTGACTATTTAAAAGATCATGATGATTATTTGAAGATCACAAAGCTAACCTCAACAAGGTTAAATATTAGTAAGACACTTTCATGTTTTAGTGAAATCCAAAATAGTCGCATATAGTTCATCATTAAGGTCATTTGTAGAAGCATTTTAAGGATACACCAAAGGTTTCCACGGGGCAAAATTTAATTTGTTTGTAATTCTTTCATTAACAAAGATAACATATTAAAAGTATATATCACTGGAAAGCTTGTTAAATTTACTATTTAATGATCTTAATTTAAATTTTCATTTTTATCTTATTAAAACATTATTCATATTTTAATGTAAATATTAGTGCATTTATATTTTAGAAATCAACTTTTTTGTATTCCACCTCTCAAAGTCAAAATTTTGCCTCAATATAGCTTAAAGATTGAACTTTAAAACCATATCTCAGATTTTTGATAAATCTCCTTATTCAAAAGTTACATCCATTTGTCTTTCAATGTTACCAATTTATTAGCCCAATTCTACATTTCCCCCAATAATTCAAGAACAGAGCAAGATATCGAAAATCTGAGATACGGTTTTGTGAACACACATTTGAGACACATTCTGGCCAGTTTTCAGAGAAATTGGTCAATAAATAAGGGAGCTGAATCCTTTGAAATAATACCACCAACTGTCTGATCTTACTTTACAGTAGAGGACAAAAACCCATTACACAACAAAGTCTGCCAAAGCTAGAAATATATGACACCTTGGAGATTCAGCTTTGGATACCTGTCACTTATCCATATTTCCTATGCATATTCACAAGTATGGGAGGTTCTATTCTTTATTTAGGTGCTTTTAATGAAGTAAATTAGGTTCAATTCTGAATCAGAAAGATTTCCCGGCAAAATGGCAAGAGCTAAGCTCCACCTCCTATTTCATGGTCATTAGTGACCTGTTAGATCTCCTTCCCTAAATCTAGAGTCCCTGTAGTTTAATTACTGATAGCCTCTGTGTGGCTAGTGAAGAATTCCCCAAGTGGTCACAGTGATTTATTGCATCTTTCAGAAGCAGGCAGTTACAGACCAAATCAGAAGCTTCAATAACGGCACATTCACATGTGTTAGTGTTTATGTTTGATTATTGTTAAATAATTAGAAAACCATTTAATAATCGGCATGGATTTTTCATGCATTATAAAGCAGTGATTAGCATTGTTTTCTTAGCCAAAAATCTCAAAATTGACAAAAATTTGGAAAAAAGCCTTTGGTGTATCCTTAAGGTAGGATTCTTCTCTGGTTTCTGACTATATGAAACATTCAAAGTATATTTGCTTATATGTCTTATATATTGAGGTGTAAGGAATTTAAAAGACCATATTTTTCTTTCCTCATCACAATTGTTCAACTTTAAATAGAAATGGTAAACTGCGTTTGAAAACTAGCAGGGACTATATTTTTGGCGGAATGGTGGCGTATGAAAATATCTTCTTTTCGGCCTCTCAAAATTATAATAAAACAATGAATTTTGTTATAATTTTTACACAATCGAAGACTTGGAGAAATTTTCAAATGTAAGTAAGATTAATAGTGAGGGACTAAACTTTCACAATATATCAAATAAATATGATTTTTCAAACAAACTAGAACTTTATTAACTTTTAAACGCTTCCTATCAAAGTGCAGATTTGAGCCAAAAATCCATAAAAAGTATTTTTTCTCTCTTAGTAAACGATCAAAACTTTTTGTTTTTGCATCATTTTGTACATTTATAAGACTACTTTATTATATGTGAAAATAAGAAAAAGTTAAATATAGGAAGCATATGAAAATAACTATTATATCCTAAAAAATTAAGAAAAGCAGAGAAAATTCGGATTAGCCAATATCCAGATAAGTGAAATTAATGATGTAAATTTGGTAATATCATGCTATAGACCCGATACAGTAATATGTTTTTATGCAAAATGAACAATCATTAAACTTTTGAAATAGAAGTAGGTATCACATGATTGGCACAAGTTATTTTTTATTCTTAATGTCAAGGAAAAAGATAATGACCTTGACCTGACCTTGCCGCTAATATAAAACGGTCAAATTTAATTTCACTGATACTATCAATTACTGATATTGTCTTCTTGATTTTGTGAAAATTTCATTAATTTTTAAATATTAGAAATATGAGAAGAATCCTACCTTAAGCAAGGCAGTTATAAGTCAGAAAAGGTTAGTTTAATATTTCACAATCTGATTAAAATCAGCTGTTCTGATATGCTACCCCTTTTAGTAAGCGATAGCGTATCAGAACAGCTGATTTTAATCAGATTGAATATTGCAGGGACTGTTTAACATATAAAAGAAAAGGGACTAAATTTTTCTTCTATAAAGTATGCGCAAGAAATTTTACCTCATCTTTAATAAAAGGATCACCGCCGTGTTGTAGTAGATTGATGAGAATTTCTTTCTTCCCCCACATACATGCAACATGCATTGGTGTGGTACCCTCAACAGACCTAGGAATAATTACATTGTTTCAAGGCAACAGATTACACAGCAATTTACATATGCATGTATACATCTTAAAGCACTACATTTGAATTATCATAGAATAGAGCAACTACAGTGAAATAACAAAATTTTGTGAGGATTATTTTTTTTTAATTTTCAAGGTTTGAAGAGACCCAGGAATTCATGTCCACTTCAAAATGTAAAACGTTACATACAAAACTACTCAATAATTCTTCATCCATGAAATCAAATCCCCAAGAAACCAAGAGATTTTCCTCAAAACACAAAAATTTGACCCCATTGACAAATATGTGATTTTACAGTATTCTTTCCTGATTAAAGCAATTTTAAATGACTGAAACTATTTGATACCTGACATTAGGATTGCCTTTATAATCTAGCAGTAACTGTGTTGCAGAATCACTGAGTCCTGCAGCTATGTGCATAGGTGCTACCCCCTCGACTGGCAGGATTTCATTTGGATCTGCTCCCTGCTTCAACAGCTGCTCAGACAATCTACAAATAAAACCACCAATCAAAATATGCATCTCTACCAACTTGATCATCTTTGCTCCTGACCTGTATAAATGACAGATTACTGTATTGCAATTTTTAAAATATAATTCTCTCACTGAATTGAACCAAAAAGAGTTGCTTCTAGCCACAATAAACACACATAAAATCCAATACAAACCCTCAAGAAAACCCTATAACCAGGAAAACGTCCACTTTGTGTACAGACTAAAATAAAATAGATTCTTTATCAGGAAATAAAATTTGTTGCCCTATTTATACTCCTGTTATTTGCAACACTAAATTGAGAAAATATTTTTTTTAGTACATCATGGAGCTTTGTGTGCCTCTATGAATTCAAGAAATCAGAGAATTTCTATTACCAGGAAAATAGAATGTAAATTTCTCAATACATTAACTCAAAACTGTAAAACATTCTCAGACGTGGACCCTTTAAATGATATTTAAAACTTAATTTTTTGATTGGTTTTCTCAAGTATATTTAAAGGTGCATTGACACAGATTTGAAGTTAAAATAAAATAGATAATGCTGTAAACCAGCTGTTTTTCATGTCATCTTTTATTTGCATTTCGTCAGTTAATCATCAATCCCAGACAACTATTTTTGCTGCTGAGAAATTATTCTTTACAAATACATTGCAAATTAAAGGGTTCGCGGTGATTAATATTCTAGAGTTGAAGTAGGTTACAAAACTCACAAATAAAAGTTGGTAACTAGAACTGTCCAAACGGGACAAAATACCCCCCGCTGGGTTTTTCAGAAGTAAGTTCTTCCATAATAAAGATATGTATCAAACATGAATTATGAAATATTTATTCCAGTGACCTTGAACTTCCCCAAATGACCTTTGGTTAAGGTCATGACACACCCTTGGGTCATGGGCAATCTTTGAGTGAAATGAGAACCTACCAAGTTTATCCATAAGAAAGATATGGACCAGACACGAATTATGAAATTTTTCTTCCAGTGACTTTGAACTTCCCCAAATGACCTTGGGTCAAGGTCATGACACACCCTTGGGTCATGGGCAATCTTTTTGTGAAATTAGAACCTTCCAATTTTATCCATAAGAAAGATATTGACCGGACACGAATTATGAAATTTTTCTACCAGTGACCTTGAACTTCTCCAAATGACCTTGGGTCAAGGTCATGACACACCATTGGGTCATGGGCAATCTTTGTGTAAAATGAGAACCTACAAAGTTTATCCCTAAGAAAGATATGGACCGGACACGAATTATGAAATTTTTCTTCCAGTGACCTTGAACTTCCCCAAATGACCTTGGGTCAAGGTCATGACACACCCTTGGGTCATGGGCAATTTTTGGTGTGAAATGAAAACCTAACAAGTTTATCCATAAGAAAGATATGGACCGGACAGGAATTTTGAATTTTCTCTTCTAGTGACCTTGAACTTTCCCAAATAACCTTGGGTAAAGGGCATAACACATCCTTGGGTCATGGGCAATCTTTGTGTGAAATGAGAAACTACCAAGTTTATCCATAAAAGATATGTATCAAACATGATTTATGAAATTTTTATTCCAGTGACTTTGAACTTCCCCAAATGACCTTGGGTCAAGGTCATGACACACCCTTGGGTCATGGGCAATCTTTTTGTGAAATTAGAACCTTCCAATTTTATCCATAAGAAAGATATGGACCAGACACGAATTATGAAATTTTTCTACCAGTGACCTTGAACTTCTCCAAATGACCTTGGGTCAAGGTCATGACACACCCTTGGGTCATGGGCAATCTTTGTGTGAAATGAGAACCTACAAAGTTTATCCCTAAGAAAGATATGGACCGGACACGAATTATGAAATTTTTCTTCCAGTGACCTTGAACTTCCCCAAATGACCTTTGGTCAAGGTCATGACACACCCTTGGGTCATGGGCAATCTTTGTGTGAAATGAAAACCTACCATAAGAAAGATATGGACCGGACAGGAATTTTGAAATTTTTCTTCCAGTGACCTTGAACTTTCCCAAATGACCTAAGGTCAAGGTCATAACACATCCTTGGGTCATGGGCAATCTTTGTGTGAAATGAGAACCTACCAAGTTTATCCATAAAAGATATGTATCAAACATGATTTATGAAATTTTTCTTCCAGTGACTTTGAACTTCCCCAAATGACCTTGGGTCAAGGTCATGACACACCCTTGGGTCATGGGTAATCTTTGTGTGAAATGAGAACCTACCAAGTTTATCCATAAGAAAGATATTGACCGGACACGAATTATGAAATTTTTCTTCCAGTGACCTTGAACTTCCCCAAATGACCTTGGATCAAGGTCATGACACACCCTTAGGTCATGAGCAATCTTAGTGTGGAGTAGTAGATTCTAATGTCCCTTTGTAAGAAAGATATGGACCAGACACGACTGCACAGACAGACGGACAGCTAGACAGCTAGACGGACAGACGGACAAGGGGATTCCTATATACCCCCCCAAACTTCGTTTGCCGGGGGTATAATTACAGTATTTTCTCAAATTTTCTATAATATCACAACTTATGTATTGCAATAGCATTTCACATGAAAATATAATAAATATCTATTTTCATTTTGAAGTTATTAAAACTTCAATTTTCTGGACGGGTTTGATTGACATGTCCTTACACTTTCACAAATTATAATTTTACTCTTAATTTTACTTAAGAAAAGTGGCAATTTTGTTGAGTATTTATGAAAGATATTAAAAACTATAATCTGAAAAATTCACAGTAATCATGTTCGAAAGTAAAACACCCTCACTAATATCGTTAGTGTCAATCAAACCCGACCAGCAATTCAAAGTTTCAATAAATTCAAAATGAATTAAAATTTTTTATTACATTTTCTTGGGGTGCGTCAATTTACCCAAATGGAAACTCACATGGAAATCAAATGAACCCAAATGGAATATTAAGTAAAGGTAAATTATATATCTTTTTATCGTATTCTCAAGTTGTAACTTATTCAAAATATTGAGAAAAAAAAACTTTGAAAAAGGGAATATTTTCATATTATTGATTTCTTTAATTGTATTCTAAAAATATGATTTTTTTTCTATTTGTAAAAACTTTTGAACATCGTTGAACACAAGATTGATGTATAGTTTCCATGGCCGTAGGAACCAAACGGGGGTGTGGGGGTCTGAGAGGCCATACCCCCCAATCCATTTTTTTTTTGGTCGATATATTGAATATTATCAAAATTAAATTCGTATCTCAAAACACAATATTAACTAGGGCTAATTGTAACGGGGACCGTTACAGATGTTCCCCAAACGCTCCCCATGTCCCTTTTCGTGCCATAGCTTTTCCTGTAACACCTTTTATAAATATACTAAGGTTTTAAGGATTTCATTTAAAGATATAAAAGTTACAATGATATCAACTATATATCGTTTAACGTTTTGCTTTGGCGCACACGTACATGTACATGCATATGCAAGATGATCATGGCATGTTGGTTAAGGTTACATCTTTCTATCCCGCGAATAATAGAAAAAATTGCAGATATAAAGTTACCACATTTCAAATATATATCATTTTTTGAAATACCTATTCACATTTAAATTCTCTACTGATTTTAATCTCGGGCTCAAAGTTGGTTTTATTCCTACGACAAGGCAGTGTTAAAGTCGACTAAGGATATCACGCCGATAGCTAACCAATCAAAATGAACTTAGTCAATTTTAGTTCCATACATAGAAAAGGGATTTTCCTTTAATCTGTTCAGATTTTTTTAGATATATTTCCTCTCTGGTCATTTTGACAACCCTCGTACCTGTGCCTAGTAAATTTTATATACTATGTAAATAAATATATACATGTAAAGGTTTTTGACCGGAACTATTCATTTTTTCCAATGCATAGGAGGCTACTTTCTGGGGTTTACAATAGATATTTATAAAGACATTCGTATCAGCTAATGTGACCAATATTCTTTAAGACCTTCTTATTAATATATTTTTCATGAATGCAAATACCTGATAATTTTTTTTTTACGAAGGAGCGTACATGTAAATTGATTTTGAATTTCTGGGGATTGCGTAATTCTAAAAAAAAAATCAATTAAATTTCAAAGGTTAAATAAACAAAGGATGCTTGGTATTAAAATATTGTTTCAAATCAGTAGAATTGAATGCTATTAACGACATCCGAATAAATACATGTAAACATATTAGGCTTATATACCAACTTTGTTCATCTGTACTTTAATTTCAAACACGACAGGATTTGTAATTAATGAAATTAATAATTTCTTTATACTTTGGAAACTCACATCAAATATTTTAATACTCTTTCTTCGAGCTCTTTTCTGCAGTTTCCTTGAAATGTTAAGTGGGTCCGAGGTGTACTTTGAGCTTTACAGTGATTGTCTACTTTGTGTGAGGGGGGGGGGGGGTCTTTTACCCTTGGGTTAAGGTCAAAGGTTAAGGTCGATTTCAAGTTTATAGGTCAATGTCATTTTGGTAAATAGCTAATATCAACATTTTATTCAGGTTAATAGTGACCTTGACCTAAGTATCAAGGTCAAGGGTAAAAAGATCTGCTTCAGTATGTTACATGTCTTTACATTTATAAGTTCTTAATTCTGCATGAACATCAAAAGACTTAAGTATACTGTCGTTTAACGCATTGTGTGTGCGCGCATGTGCATGACGTCCTTGCATTTACTTTTGATGGTAGAATAATGTAGGCATTCGTTATATCTATTCATATTCGAAATTTCACCCTGTATTATTGAGAACTAAGAAAGTTTTAGGCATTTAAACTTTTAGCCAATCAGATTGCAGCTAACGTGCATGTGCGTGCGTTCATGATTATTCTTATATACCATGCTGTAGATCTTCATAATGTACGACGATGTTCAAAATTTCAAAGGATTTTGTCAGAAAACAAAAAAGATATAAAGACTTTTGTTTCAACCAATCGGAACGAAGCGCACGTGCATGCGCGTGAGAGCTTGCTATTTTGACCACGTCGTCATGTCTATACTACTATTATATCCTTATATTATGAGTTTCAAGGCATTTCATCAAAAATTTAAAAGGTTACGGCTATATCTATCATATTGGTTATTTCACGCGTTACACGTGTGCGCATCGAACACATGCACGCACGTGCGCGCAAAATGACCTTCGTTCCGCACATCTACATAACATACCTAGTGACCCTAAAAAGGTTTCACCTACATCGGATGAGTAGTTTACGAGAACACTCGCGGACAAAAAAAGTACCGGAGAAGAAAATTCAGAAAAAAAGTAAAAACAATATGTTCCCAAACTCCGTTTGGGGAACATAATTAACTTCAAATCTCTGACTAAAGACTTTGGCAAAAACTAAACAAAATGCGTTGCAACTAACAAGACAAGCTATAGCCCCTTAGCTACGGTAGGTAGTCCTAACGACGTAGATAAAATTACTGATTAGGCTAACTGAAGTTGACATAAACAACCTAAATAGGTCGCAAATGCAAACAGCTGAGCGAGAAATAAAGAATATAAACTGATCTACATCTAAACTCACATAATGCATCGTTTCAAATGCTGATTAAATCATTCAATGACACATGAAGTTTTTTAAAAAGAATAATGAAAAAATATTGGTCTCACTCAACTCATACTTACACAAGATCGCCATCACTCAATGCATCAATTAGTTGTGCAGCATTCGCCATTTTGAAAAACCCGCTATAGCGATCACGTGATTATTTCCGGAAAACCATTTTGTGCAGATCGATTTTTATTTTAGATTTTGAATCTCGTAAACGCTTCTTGTCGGGTGAACAAATATCATAGTTTTAAGCCTTTAAATAACATTGACGATACTTAATTTTTTTCCTGCAGAAGTGTGCATTGATAGTGTGATTGCTAGGAGCAACAACTACTTAAACAGATTGAAATGAATTCTGGCGAATCATCAAACGATGGAGATGAAGATCTCAAACAGCGCAGAAACCTCGATGTGGCTACGACAGCTTCTCTTGATCTGGTTGCCTTAAACAATAAGGTGAAAAAGCTGGTCATCTGCCTATCTAATAAGACCATTAGCAGTACTGTCACTGCCAGCAGTTTGATCATTAGGCTTTCTTGTTTAAAAGCTAGCTCAAAACAGCCTTGGGGTCCATTACTTTCAAATACATTGATAATTTTGTCAATTACTTGCAATTACAATCAGATCAACATTGATTTTTTTAATTTTAGTGCAATTGGCAGTGTGACACACGGTATAAACAAATTAAACATTATGAGACATATAATTATTGTACAAACACAAGTCCATGCTACACCAGTATGGTGTATGACAAGATCGTTTTTGTAACTTACTCAAATCCATATTTTTTAAGGAAATAAATAATATTTATCACAAATCCATTCATTATTTTCTATCTTAAAATGAATTGAATACAGGTAAATCTAAAATGGTATGTAGTAAGTCGAATTACTGTAAAACAAATTAACTATCTTAAAATCATTGTAATTTGCAAATTTGCAGGTAGAACTGACATTTTCAAAATGTGGGAATAGGTAGTATAAACCTATGTAATGGTTAGGGCCGTGGATATCGGCCTGGATAGCTCAGTAGGTAGAGCACCTGACTAGAGATACAGGGGTCCCGGGTTCGATTCCCGGTCCAGCCATGCATTTTCTCCTTTCCTGTTACAGAAACTGAATTGCAGGTGAAAGTCCTCACTTGGGTTGTGTCTTCGAGGGCGAAGACCATTTAAGGAGGGAGGAAAATGGTTAGGGCCGTGGATATTTAGCTCAGTAGGTAGAGCACCTGACTAGAGATAATTCCCGGTCCAGCCATACATTTTCTCCTTTCCTGTTAAACCTATTAGTATAAAAACTGTGTATCAGTGTAAGAAACCTTTCTTATAAACTTTCATTTTGAAAAAAAGTAATTGAAATGTAATAAAAAAGTAATTAAAAATACATGACCTCTTTATAAATGTATTTTATAAACACATACAATTACTTGTAATTGAAGGCTCGCTCAAATACAAATTACTTCCAATACCTCGAATAAATGTAATTAATTACGTTCAATTACAATTACTTTATTCAATTACCCCATCCCTGGCTCAAAAAATTTACAATTCGAGTATGTAACAATAGTGTGCATTCCTGGTCAATCAATATATTTTCTCTTGCCAATGAAAAACAGGCCTATCACAGTCTCTTGAATTAGCTATACAGCTTTGTTCAGGTCTTGCACAGTCTCTTGTTTAATCCATATAGCTTAATTTGGCTGTATAACTTTAATAAATAATTTATTGCTTTTTATACCCCAAAACGGACAACACTTTCTGAACTTTGAGTACAAAGTCTCTCAAGGAGAACACAATTTGTTGAGCAATTTTTATATGCATTGTTTTTGAAGCATTCAAGATTGAATACTATATATCACTGCACCAAGATGCAACTTTGTGTACATGCTGAATAAATAAGACTATTCAATTATCCAATCAAACGTTCACTTATAATAAGAATTTGGAAGTATCTCAGAATTCTGTTACAGAAGTGAAAGCCCTGATGTTTCATGAACAGAAAACTGTGACTGGTTTCGATAGCCGCCAAGAGAATGACTACAGTTTTTCCTGTACAAAAATATATAATAAGTACATGTACTTGCTTTTGCCTTGTTGTTTAGCTCTAGACTTTGTTTTATATGGAACCATAAAGTTTTCTCCATGGCTTCCTTTACTTTTACATTAATTTTCCTGAATGTCGCTAATGAGTACGATCTCTCTTTATCAGAAGGGACACCAGGAGATACCACTGAGTGGGGTATCCTCAGGTCCCTGGTAGCTATCTTGAGTGAGCAGATCAAAGGATCCGATTATTGATCAGATATTCAGATTTGATGGAATTCTGACCCTGTTGCAAAAGCACACAGTATTATTAAGTTTTCATATAATTCTTTTCTAAAAGAAGTTTTGTGTACTTTATCAGTACTTTTTAGAAAACTTGAACCATATTACATTAATTTTCTTTCCCCTACAATTAGGTTATCTCTATGAGGGGACAAATTAAGAAGGTGAAAGTTCACGTAATCCACAAGCTTACAAGACAAATAACAGCACTGCAGAAGAAACAAAGGTAGGGTGGTCCAAATAATTTTTCAATAATGTTTGATTGCCCTTTCCCAACTCAGAGTGAAAAAATTAGGTCGGTAGCTAGGTGGGATTTTTTTTTCATAGAATATTTCAAAATCAACACAAGTTTTCAAAATGTGTATTCCTGAATACATAAAAAATAATTGTCTCACGGGGGTAAAAAAAAATTTGAGTCAAGCAATTTTTGGCCAGTCAGTGGGGAGAGGGCAACTAAACATATTTTTTAAAAGATGGCCCTATTATATTATAATATTGCAGGTTACAGTACTGTAGAGTGAAGAAATTTAAAAAAAATTATACAGTGAATGTTTTTTCTAATAAATTATGATTAAAAGACTTATTCAAGATTTATTTTATAAGAACTTCAATTTGTTAATTTTTTGGATGTAAATATGAATGTTAAGTTTTTAGAATATGCAAAAAAAAAAATATCTGGCAAATAAATGAAATCATGCTTTTATCTCATGAAATTAAGTCACATGAAATGTAAGTGAAATGCAGCACCAAATTTTAGGAACAAATTTCCTAATACAATACAAAGAACAAAGTGAGTATTTATCTTTGTTATTCTTTAAGGGGTCCAGAGAAGTTACTTGAGAAAAATAAAAGAAAAGCAGAAAGATTAGTAGAGGAAGTACAAGTCTTAAAAGTAAGTAATGATCAAGGAAGATGTACATAAACAGTCATTTATTATTCAAAACTATATACTCTCTCACTAGAAACCTTCATCATTGAATTTAAAGTTTTTTAGAAGTATGAAGTGTGCAAGACTATTTTATGTTGATATCATTGATATTCTTTACAGGACTTAAAACCAGACCGCATAGCAAAATATGCTATCGGACATACCATTTCTTTCGCAAATGTTTGCAAAGAGGTAAGAATTTTTAGGCTATATTAAGTACTTGTTTCTTCAAATTCTTATATTTTTAGCTCACCTGAGCTCTTCTGATCACATTTTGTCCATCTGTCTAGCTGTTCGTATGTCCAGTCTGTAAACTTTTCACATTTTCAATTTCTTCTCAAGAACCACTGGGCCAATTTTAACCAAACTTGATACAAAGCATTGTTGGGTGAAGGGGAGTTTAAATTGTTAAAATGAAGGACCAAGTTTCCTCACAAGGGGAGATAATCAAGAAAAGACAAAAATAGGGTGAGGTCATTAAAAATCTTTTCAAGAACCACTGGGCACTGGGCCAAAAAAGCTGAAACTTATGGGGAATCATCCTGAGGTAGTGTAGATTCTAAATTGTTCGAATCATAATACCCACAGGTGGGGCAGGTTCACAACAGGGAATTCAAGTTTTACATTGAAATATATAGGAAAAATATTTAAAAATCTTCTTCTCAAGAACCACTGGGCCTGGAAAGCTGAAACTTATGGGGAATCATCCTGAGGTAGTGTAGATTCTAAATTGTTCGAATCATAATACCCACAGGTGGGGCAGGTTCACAACAGGGAATTCAAGTTTTACATTGAAATATATAGGAAAAATATTTATAAATCTTCTTCTCAAGAACCACTGGGCCTGGAAAGCTGAAACTTATGGGGAAGCATCCTTGGATTGTATAGATTCTTAATTGTTCAAATCATGACCCTCGGGGGTAGGGCGGGGCCACAATAGGGAATCCAAGTTTAACATAGAAATATATAGCTTTTTTTTTATCTTATACTCAAGAACCACTGGGTCAGAAAAACTGAAATTTATGTGAAAGCATCCTGGGGTAGTGTAGATTCTAAATTTTACATTGAATTATACGAGATTTTTTTTTTAAAGTCTTCTTTTCAAGTACCACTGGGCCAGAAAAACGGAAACTTACCTGAAAGCATCCTGGGGTAGTGCAGATTCTAAATTGTTCAAATCATGATCACTAGGGGTAGGGCGGGGCCACAGTAGGTATTACAAGGGGGAAATCTGGTAAAGAACAGCATGGTCAAAGGTTCTTAGGTGAGCGTTGTGGCCCTTGGGCCTCTTGTTTTAAAGAATACTTTGGTATGTTAATTTATCATTCAGATCATTGTATGAAAATTTTTTATTTTTTTTGGAAATTTATTTTTTTCTTAAAAAAAGAAAGAAACTAAAACTATTATAAAGATCTCATACAATGTAAGGATTGAAGACTGTTAGGAAGTATTAACACTTTAAGTATACAATGACAAATTTTCAAAGAGAGTTTGTGACTGCTTACTTAGTGTAATGTTCTTACTCCAACATGGGTTAAAAGTATGTCTACAGTATTTGAAATCTAAAATGACTTTTAACAGAAAAGCTGACCCCCAAAACAATCCCTGAATATGAATACTCGAATGATAATGTGTCTGTGGATACAAAGTAAAGTTTGTTTATAGATAATATATGTTAACTTATTTCAAATCTGTGTGTATTTAAAGCCAAAGGCCTCTTTGGAAACCAAGGCACTGGCTAGACTGACAGATCACAAGATTTTACAAGATTCTGTGAAAGAATTCCGCAGAGACCATGAGGACTGGATGTCTTTGGCAGCTTTTCTGATGAGTCGAAATTCAGGTCGAAGAATCAAAAAACAAAAACAGAATCGTGTTGACAAAATCATCACAAATGTCAAAGCTGGAGAAGTCTTGGTGAAATCTTATTTACAGAATCGACTGGAAGGAGATGAAGAAGGTCTGGACAAAATTCAGAAAATAAATACAGGGAAGAAAAGTTCAGACAATTCAGCACAGGAAGCTACAGACAGTCCAGCTAATCCAGGGTTTCCTGGAGATGGAGGGGGCTCTGATATGGAATCAGAAGAAGAGAGTGAGGAGACTTCTGAAGAGGATTCTGTCCACAGCGAGGAATTGTCTGAGAACGAGTCGGAAACACAGCAAACAGAGACACATCACAAATCAACAGTACAAACAGATTCATCTAAACCCAGCACAAATAAAATTAAACAGATAAAAGAAAGTAAAAAAGAAGGAAAGCAGGAGAGCAAAAATTCAGAAATGGTAATAAAGAAATTAAACATGGATGATTTGGATAGTGAAAGTGAGATACCAACCGATTCCGTGCCTTCATTTCTAACAGGAGATGATAAATCAAAATCCTTAGATACAGAAGCAAAGAAACACAAAAAGAAAGATGCTTTCTTTGTTACAAGTGATGATTCAGGTGAAGAGGATGAAGATGATAATCAAGAGGATAGTTACAGGCTAAAGGGAGATAATGCAGATGATAGAGATGAGGAGGAGGAACTGGAGAGGGGAAAACATGCATTTAGATCTACATTCCTCGGCTCACTGTCAGAAAGAGACTGGAGAAGAAGCACCAAAGAAAGGAATGAGTCAAAAAAGGCAACAACATCAAAACATGTCTCAAACTTTCAAAAAAATAAAAGGAATAGGGGATTTCCAAATACAAATCCTAATCAAAACAAGCAATTCAGGTATTTATGATTCAGTGACATGAAAATAGTTTTTTTACTACTGTAGTATGTGTTAGATTTAAATCTCATTTGTCTGTCAGTTGGTCTAGCTGTCTGTCTGCCACAGAACGTAAACCTTGGACACAAGTTTTAAATGGGAAGAGAGAGGGGTTTCATATTTAACATGTTTAACATATACTTTACCTGTAATTATACGAATGTTTTATGATTTTAAGAGGTATATCTTAGATTATTATATATACTGGTATTCAATTGCTTTTTTTTAAGGTTCGTAAACCCTCTGCTCACTCATATAAAATGTTGCTTGAACCCTAATGATTTTTCAAAAGAAATGTATTTTATCTCCCTTATCAGAATATCGATAAACCTTAAAAAAAGTAAAGTAATGAAAACCTACCAGGTCTATACATTTGATTAACGATGTTTAAATATTTTATTACAGGTCAAAAGAAACACAAGACACCACTAGAAAAGGTGAGCTATGCACTAAATGTCAACATATATGTATAAAGTTAGCATATTAAAGTACTGAGTATTTTTAGTTCACCTAAGCTGAATGCTCAAGTAAGCATTTCTGATCATGTATAATCACGAAAAGACAAGAAATAGGATGGGGTCATTAAAAAACTTTTTTCTCAAGAACCACTGAGCCAGTAAAGCTGAAACTAATGTAGAAGCTTCGTAAGGTAGGGTAAAATTTACATTATTCAACTTATAACCTGTGGTGTTACTCACCGGTGGGGCCACAGTAGGAAATTAGTATACGAGGGTTGATCCAAAAGTTCATGGAATTTCTTCATATTTTATTTATTTTTTAGTGGAATTAGTTGAAAATTACAACTGAAAATATAGACACTTGATGAATATTAAAAATTAAAAACCATTTTAAATATCTTTGATAGTAACTCTATGGCAGTTGCTATAGAAAAGGTTGTTTGGAAATGGGGGCGAGAGATTAACGCGTTTATTATCATTTTAATTCTTAATACATGAAATGAAAATTAAACCGCCATATGTGGTATATAAAATGAAAATTATTTCATTATTACGATTGCTTCATCTTTTATAAATCTTTCTGTGAGAGGTTTACTGATTTTACTGGATATTTAGTTTATTAGTTGATGATTTATTGTTCATCTTTAAGTTGTTAAACAACGTCAAATTTCGGCTAAGTCATATGTTTTGTGAAAATCCCGGGATCACTCTATCTTAAACGCGTATATTTTTGACATAGGCTTGGGAAAATGCATTTTAGTTACTGTTTTTCCAGTTGCATACCAATATTTAGAAAAAATAGAACTTCCATGGACGTTCATCAAAGATGTGGTCGCTTTTTGGAGGCTCTGTTTTAAGTGCCTATTCCCATTGACAAATTAAAAGCGTTATTGGACGTTGTCGACTGACGTACTGTTTCTGACATTGCAACTGAAATTGGGACATCATATGGAAAGATGGGTTGTTTTTTGAAATATGAGTGAAAAAGAAGATGAAGATAAGTTGGTGCGAGAGGATACCCAGGCTTTTCTTGAGAAAAAAAAAGGAGAAAAGGGCAGCATTTTGTAGAATTACGTATTCCAATCGGACATTAGAGTGAGATGCTTCTATAACGTGACTTGACATATCTTACTTGACGTTACGTCGAAGTCTCCCCCGGGTTTCACAACTATCCATTTTCAGAAAGCTTGTGTGACCTTATTGGTAATTGGAAAATCACGATAAAATTTTAGAAATTCCACGAACTTTTGGATCAACCCTCGTATATGAAAAATCTTTAAATATCTTCTTCTCAAGAACCCACCCCACCCCTACCTTGTGTGTTTGGGGATAGGCTGGGGCCACAGTAGGGAATCTAAGTTTTACATTGAAATGTATAAGAAAAATCTTCAAATATTTTCTTCTCAAGAACCAACGGGCCAGAAAAACTAACATGTATGTTGAAGCTTCCTGAGGTAGCATGGATTCTAAATTGTTCAGATCATGGCCTTTTGGCATTGGCTGGAGGCACCATAGGGATTATTTTCAGATTCAATTGGAATAGTATATTGGAAAAGTCTTCTCAATAACCACTGGGCCAGTAAAGCTGAAACTTACATAGGAGCTTCTTAATGTATCTAGTGTAGATTCTAAATTGTTCAAATCATAGCCCCCTGGTTTAGGGCTACAATACTACAATAGGAAATTGAAGTATCATAGGAAAACCTGTTGAAAAACAGCTGGGTCAATGTGACTAAGATGTGGTTCATGTGACTCTTGTCATCTTTAGAATGTTATTTCTTTCAGAAATTTTTTTACGCTTTTCTTGTTGCAAAAATTAGAACTTTTATAAATAAGTTAATGTACTTACTTCTCCTGTTGAAAAGTGTTCAGAGTAAATATAAACAGTAACATTGTCAAGTTGTTATGTTATAAATGTGCTCATTGAGGTTCATTATGACATCTTTTATTTCTAAATTTAATCAGTTTCTAAAAGATCAATTATTTATAGATGACCCATTTTTGTAATGACCTATTTTCTTTTCCAGAAGACAAGAACGAAAAGTTACATCCTTCATGGATTGCAAGCAAGAAACGAAAAGAGCAAGCACAAATACAAACATTTCAAGGAAAGAAAATCAAATTTGATGACTAGTACCTGGTACATTGTACTTACCAGATTAGTAAATGTCTGATCATTTATTGTTACCCTGCCAAGACAGAGTTCTAGTATTAGATTTGGACAATAAATTTTAATAAACTTTGTTATTTGAGTTTGAATGAAAGGAGTAGGGGTAACATAATTTTCTTACCCTATTATATACTGTAAAATCACATATTTTTGTGTGGTCAAGTTTTTGTGGTTTGAAAAAAAAATGTTGGTTCGTGGGGATTTGATTTCGTGGATGAAGAACTTTTTAGTAGTTGTGCATATGAAAATTTACATTTCATGGTGGGCATAAATTCATGGGTCTCTTCATACCTCAAAAACGATGAAAATTAGTGATTTTACAGGACACAATTACAATTTCAACTACATGCAGGTCCCATACCATCAAAGGCGTAGACAGTGTAACAATTTCAAGGCTTATTGCAAATGGTGATCGAATCGGTGATTGAATACACTAGCTGTAATACCTTGACTCTCGGCTGAGATCCAACGATGTAGATAAAATTAAACGTTATTATATTTTCCTGCATGTGACCTTCCATGTAAATATCAGGATATATGTTTTCTCTACATTGGTCTAAAAAATAAATTGGGAAATTCCAAATTGAAATAGTTTAAGAAAGCAATCGTAGAAGTGGAAATTTTAGTGAGACGCAAATTTAGTGATTCCTTCATAAAAACTAGTATTTTATTTTTAGCGAGAAGTAGTTTTAGCGATTTTAAAATGCTTAATATCCAGAGGTAGATTAGAGAAACAAAGAGAAAGTGCATTTCCACTTTATAACCAGTTGTGCATCCCATCCCAAAGGAACCACTGACCCTGGGGCCATATATTTCAACATTTTAAAATTTTTTTTCATAAATTTTATTTCATCATAAATAGTTGATTAATACCAAAGAGCAGATTTCAAAGCATTAATTTATTTTCAGACTATGTACCCACCCCCCCCCCCCCCCCCCCTGCTAGTACCCAGGGACCCTGAAATTAACCATTTTGGAAGAGGTAGCTTACTTCATCATAAATATGTACTTTGAGTCTTTGATAATTGGCATAATACCCAGGAACAAAGGAAAAGATTTTCAAAGAATTCATGCATTTTCACTATATAAACAGCCACGACCTAACACAAGAACCCCTGACCCAGGGGCCTTGAAATTCACATATCTCAAAGAGGCATTCTTCCTCATCATAACTATGTACATAGTTCATTGGTTTAATACTCAAGAACAGTAGATTTTTAAAGAATTTATGCCTTTTCACAATATAATCAATTCAACATAACTATGCACTTGGTTAGTTTATTTAATGCCAAGGAGCAGAGAAAAAGAATGTCAAAGAAATAATGCATTTTCACTATATGATCTACTTAGCCCCGCCCTAGCACTAGAACCCCGAGATCCTAGGGCCCGATCTCTACCCAGAGTTATCGTTCCACTGTTGTAGCGAAGCGAACGACAACTCTGGGTAGAGATTGCCTGGGGCCATGAATTTTTACAATCTTGGTAGAGGACTCAATTAATGCTGATTACAATCATACCAACAGTTTGACTGCTTGATGTCCAGCAGTAAAGAAAATTTTTAAAGATTGCATTAATTTTAGTGATTTTGGCCCCGGGACCAGGCCCCAGGAGGGGGACAGGGACCATGAAATTCACAATTTTTGGTCCCCTTCACCCATAGATGCTATATGCCAAAATTGATTGAAATTGGTTAAGAAAATTTTAGAGAAGAGGCTGAAAATGTTCAAATGTTAACGCACGACGCACACCGGATAGCGCCTAGCAATACTGAATAGGTCACCCGTGACCTTAAAAGCTGAACGTATAAATTTTGGACCTTTATCCCCCACCCCAAAAACAAAATACATGTATCATTAGACAAGTAAAAACAATTTTCCTTGATAACCCCCTCCTTTCAAAATTATGAAAGCCGAATGAGCTCATTGTCGTAGGTAAAAAAAATAAATTTTTCGCGTGATAACGCGAAACTTTCGCCAATAAACGCGAAAGTTTCGCGAAATAACGCGTAACTTTCGCGTTATGACGCGAAACTTTCGCGTTATAACGCGAAACTTTCGCGATATAACTTTTGCGATATAACGCGTAACTTTCGCGAATAAACGCGTAACTTTCGCGTTGTAACGCGAAACTTCTGCTGTTTAACCAGCCATTTGCTTTAATTAGTCTCAACTTTCTTTTGATTTTGTCATCAAGTTTACTCATTACAATGATAAGCAAATGGCTATTTTGGTCTTGGATTATCACAAGATAAATTTTAAGCTTTCTTGCTATTGAATCCATCTTTACCCTCAAAACTTCTCTCTCTCAACGCTGTTCAAACAATTCAAAGTTTATGCGAGTTTTCCAAAAGATAAACTTCAAGATTATTAATTTCGGGGAAAATCACCCCTTTCCGGCGTCTTTTTTTATGCACTCTCTAGAGAATTCGAAATAATTTTATTTTATAGAGATCAAGATCTCAGAAAATTGACAAAATAAGGTAAATTTGTCAATTGTGTCCCACCGCATTTGTGAAAATTGGATATAGTCCATGAGCCACTGGGGATGGTCGGTACCATTTTGGGTGAATAAACTTTAGAGTGATATTTGGTAAGGAATACCCCTAACTAGTGAGAAAATGTATGATAGCATCAAATCCGTTGTGGCTTCAATGCTGGAGACAAAGATTTTGCCCTTTATTTGCTCAAATAAGGTATTTTGAGCTAAATATATTTGCAACCTGCAAAGTATTTTCACGCAGTTGCCAAGCGTGATAGAAAGTTCTACCAGAATTACTCAGAGATATGATGAACATATTAAAAGAGCATTAACTGAGTTACTAGCCGTGATTCTAACAAAAATTGCATATTTTTACTACTTTTATTCAACAATAACATGTACCTCAAAAATTTATATAAAGAAAAAGATAAGTACCAACGCACATATACTAGTTAAGTTATTCGTCCGTCGGTGACGACGATGACCACTATCTCATCTTCGTGGGGGAGGGGGTTGACCTGGACAGTGGATGCGGAGGTGACTGGTCAGGCCGATCCTCGCACAAGCAGATGAAGGAGTTTTTCGACTAGAGCCACGCCCCCTTCTTTGTAAATCTCAGCTGGGATGGAGTATCCACCAGGTGTTTTGATTGCTTTTTTGATCTCATCCAACGAGAGAACGGCGTCCAGTGACTGGTTGATGGGAAATTGGGTAGTCGGTTGATGGCTTTGTCGTTGATGGTAGAAGGACAGTTCAGAACGCTATTGAAATGTTCCGCCCACCTAGCGAGTATCTTTTCCTTCTCTGTGATGAGTGTTAACCCGTCATCACTGAAGAGAGGGGATGAGCCTAATGGAGTTGGCCCGTAGACTTCCCTCAGTCCACAGTAAAAGTTCTTCCTGTCATGAGATTCGGCGTAGCGTTGGATCTCGTCAGCTTTGGCATTCAGCCAGGAGTCTCCCGAAGCTTTTGCTGTACTGTGCTGCGAGCGTTCCTCAGAGCGTCTTTTTTGCTGTGGAGGTGGGATCATCAATATGAGCCTTGTATATGTAAGCGCGATGTTTGTCGTCTAGAAGCTACGTGGTCTCGACACGGTTCTCATCAAACCAGTCTTTGTGTTTTTTTGTAGAGGGCTCAAGACACTCGAAGGCTGTATTTTACACTGTATTACGAAGTGTGCGCCATGCTGCTTCCACGTCGCGGTCATCCAGCAAGGTAGATCTGTCCAGCACTCCGCGCCGCACATACCGGTAGCCTTGGTGAACAAACGAACTTTCTGTCTTTTTTTTTTCCTGACAATGACGTAGTCAATGAGATGCTAGCGCTTTGAGCGAGGGTGCATCCATGACGTCTTGTTACGGATGGGAAGGCAGAAGACGGTGTTAGTGATCAGAAGGCAATGTTCAGCGCACGTCTAAAGAAGCAACAGGCTGTTACTCTTGCACTTGCCCACTCCGTGCTTCCAAATCACGCTTTTCCCCGGTGGTGGTGTCACGTCCAAGTCTCGCATTAAAGTCACCAGGTATGACGAGCTTGTGGCGTTGGGGATGGCGTTGATGACATTGTGGAGGTTCTTTTGGAACTTGTTTTAGCCTCCTCTGGGTTAGTGAGGGTAGAAACATATGCGCTGACAATAGTGGCGGACTTTCCTCGAGTGAGGGGGTTTCATTGTCATCAGGCGGTCGTTCGCTCATTTGGGTACGCCGACTAGCTTGCCAGCAAGCGTAGTCTTTATAGCAAAGCCTATGCCAGCTTCTCGTCTCTCCTCGGCTCCTCCATCCTGGTTTCACTGAGAGCCGCGATGTCAATGCTATATCTCGCGAGTATGCATGCAATCAGTGCTGTGCGTCTCTGGAGTCTGTATTTAATGTCTGTGTCGAGAAGCGTACGAAAATTCCACGATCCAAGGTTCAGTGGGATGATCCTTGTTTTCTTCTTGCTCTCTTTGTTATTTCGATCGCATGTGTAGGGTCCCCACCAGCCGCGGTAAACTGGCTAGAGAAATGTGGAGCAGGCAATGTTTGGGATACCTTTTCTAATCGGCTCCTCTTTGCCATGGACGTGAGCAGTGCGTTCCTAAAGAGGGCTGCTCAGTCGCACAGGTGGCTGCCGAACTCCAACGCTGCTCCGGTCGGTGAGGAGCAATTCTATGGCCTGTGCCACCTGTGTGCAGGTCCGGGACTAGCGACTTCCAGTGAACCCTCACCTGTTATACCTTCGTTCCTCGCCTGTCGCCACAGGGCTTTGGGGTGGATGATAGAATGGATGAAAGATGAACAATGACTTGCGTGATGAGTTTGATTAAAGTTAAGACCCGTCAGAGCTTTGTGTAGAGAGTGGTGTCCTAGAGGGATCTCCCGTAAGAGGGTAAGGGTTGCTTCTACCCGGACTAGTGGAAGAAAGGGGCGTCAGGCCATTCCAGGACGTGAGACACTGTCCACAAAGCACATATATTGAAACAAATAACTGTGCACATATGTTGCTTAATTTTGATGTCAAAAATATGTAACAAATTACACGTTTAACTTAGAAGAACATTCAAGTGTCCATTATCACCATGGTTTAACTTGA